GGGTGACCCTGGCTGGTGAAGCCAATGCTCCTTCCCCAGCATGATTACACAGCCACGTTCCTCCAGGGCTCTCCAGCTCCGTGTCCCCCACCCCATCACACCCTAGTCCAGGACAGGGATCCCCACGCCTCCTCCTCCCTCCATTTTATCTCTCATACGGTTCTTTCTGTGCGTGACCATCTGTATCACCCCTGCTGCGGTGCGAGCCGTGGGGAAAGGCGCTGACACTGCCCGGGGACCCCGCGGGGACACCCCACCACCCCTCACCTGCCAGTTTTCACACTGCCCAGGCTGTAGTGGATGCAGTTCAAGCACTGGTCGGCGTTGGGGCCGTCGCAGCCCTGGTCACCGCACTCAGGATGGCACGGACCTGGGGAAGGAAAGACCAGCTCAGCAGGGGGAGAGGCTGAGCATCCCCTAGACCCCGCTGCCAGGATGCTCTGAGCGCACCCTCCCGGGACTGACAGACATAGGGAGGGAGCAGGAGACCCTCTGCCTATCTTAACCTGCAGCTATTATAGATCTTATCCCATGGAGCTGCGTGGCTCTGAGTGCACGCCTCTCCTCCAGCTCATCCTCCCCAGCACGAATCCCACCCGGCTATCCTCCAGCTGAACACCCTGGTGCAGGAGCAGCTTTGAAAGACGGGCTGGACCCACTCCTGGGGGACCGGCAGGGACGCCCATCTGTGCCCGCACTGGGGCGGAAGGTGGGCAGAGGAGCTTTTTTTACTCCTCAAATGGCTGTACCACCAATTTGTGGCGGAAGCACTGGGATGGGGCATTTTGCTACCTTCTAATTTCGCTGCCCTGCTGCCCCGCGCCAGCCGCAGGCACCGCTCCTCCCAGCCCGCCTTGGCTCCCGGGCAGGATTAGGCCTTGCGGCTCCCCCAGTTTATCTGGGTTTGCATTTTCCTGGGTACTTTGGGGGGGGACGACGTGATGGCTCGGTCAGTGCTTACCTGTGTACTCCTCCTCCTCCTCTGCCACCTCCACCTGGCTCTGCAGGAAGGCAGCTCTCGACGGCTCCATCTCAGACACCGGCACCTCCAGCGTCCTCCCGCGGGACTGGGGGCTGCCCAGCGCGGCGTAGGGGTGCTCGGCCGTCCCGTAGAAGAGGAGGCTCCACTCCTTCAGCTTCCCTGTGGGGCAGGCGCAATGTCACCCATGCCGCTTCCCCATCCCGCTCCTCCCTGGCAGACCCGGTTTTGGGGGAAGCAGGAGGAGGATGGAGCAGAGCATCAGGGCTTCACCACCGGAATGGCAATGCCGAAGCAAACAAGGAGCACCCAGAAATGTCCATGAGCCCCCGAGCTCCCAGCCTGCACAAACGCAGCCATTAAAGGCACCCACGAGGGATTTTTTATTCTGTAACTTGTCTGACGAACCACAGCATCACCGTCATGCCCAACGTGTGGACAGAACCATTAACTTTAAAAGCTCCATAATGGAGGATTATTTCTGTCTGATAAAAGCCGCCCGGCACACACCGGATTATTTCTTGCTGCTGTTGTTCCAGCCACCACCCCATCCGACACATCAGAGCTCAGTGTCCCCTGAAACAACGCGGGGGCCACCGGAGCCTGTGCTGCACCTGGGGGCTTTGGACCCCCCATGGCCTTACACCCACACTGGGGTCCTCCCCAGCCCACGCCACTTTGGGGAGGGAGTCCAAAAACCGCTGCTGCTTCTTTCCAGCGCTGTTTTTCTTTCAGTTTCCCATCAACGCGAGTCACTTCACGCCCGCAGCATGCTCAGCTTTATCTACTAATCCCCGCATTTCCAGGAAGGGCTTAAAATTTCCAACACCCAAATCCCTCGGCTCTCCGAAAGGGCTGAGAGTACCCACCTGCTGCGGGATGGAGCGGAGGCTGTGAAGGGGCGAGCTCAGGTGGCATCGGCGGGGAAGAGCTCAGCTGTGCACCTCCGCCAAAAGAATTCAATTTGCTTTAAATCTAAGATGTCCCACACAAGGAAAGCCCAGGCTGCGTGGGCTGATGCTGGGGATGCAGCAGTACCAGCAACCCATAGTATTTCATTGGTAATAGTACCAACACCCATAGTATTTCATTGGTAATAAATGAACCAATTTAATGGTCTTAAATTAACTTTTAATACCTGATTCTGCCACGGGCTGGGAGCATCGTCCCTCTTTTTCCTCCTGCTTTGCCCTCTCTGCTCCAAACCCAGTGCAGGCCCTTTGAAAGGGGTGACTTAACGTGCTCGTTTACGTTTCATTTTGCAAAGCCGGGTAAAGCCGAGCCCTGATGCCTGCGAGGGGCTCAGAAACACCCGCCGCGAACTGTAAATACAGGGGGAAAAGCAGCTCCGTGGGCGCTTCGCTGCTGCTCTCCGAGTTCAAAAGACTTCGGGTGAAGGCAGCAAACAGAAACGCTTTCTGCGCAACCAACCCCCACGTGCGCCTCCCGCCAGAAAGTCGCGTGGGAGAGGTTTTTAATATACTCCTGGCTTCCTATCAATGAGCATGTGGATTTTAACACCCCCACAACGCACGCCAGCCCCAGGCAGGGTGCTTCACGCCCCGCTGCCACCAGCCGGCAAGGCAGCTGCCCCTTCCCGGAGGGGCTGGATCCTGCCAGCTCGGCTCCTTTGCCGGGAAAGGGTCAGGGAGCAGGCGGCCAAGCCAGGCAAGGGGGGGACACAGTAGGGTTGGGGACATGCAGGGGGCCAGGGTGAGCCCGGCCACCCCCCACCAGCAGGGTGGCAGCCCGGGGAGGATGTCTGCCTGTCCGCAGCCTGAGGGGCATCGTCCCCTTGTGCCGTTGCACAACCAGCCCACGCGCCAGATGTCCCAGCAGCGAAGCAAAACAAACAAACAACAATTACAGCTCTCGGGTTTCCTCGTTTTGACTCATTACGGTTTAATTTTGGAAACCTGGCTTTCGATTGCAACGAGTTTGCTAGTGGGAGAAAACCTGCTCCTGGCTCAGCCAGACTGGCAGCCTCCTGCGCTCAAAGCTGAAGTTTTATTCCCATTTTTGAAACATTTCAGCAATACAGTTTTGCCGAAGACCATAAAACTTGCAGCAAAAGTTATGTCCAAGTGAATGAAGCAGCCTGCGAAGAGCTTTGAGGGTGAGGGAGACCGCCGGGCGCTAGGGGACACGGGTGTTGGGGGACCCTTACCTTGCACTGCGGGGTTGCGCACTTGGGACGGCGTGTCGTGGATCTCCAGGGTCCACTCCCCCGCCGCCCGCTCCCCCCAGCAGTGGACGGTCATGAACTCCCAGCCCTTGAACCCCTCGTTGGAGTGGTCGAACACCCTGCAACGGTAATGCCGTGCGTCAAGAAGCATGACTTTGAATGTCTTATTTAATTGGAAAAGGTAAGTAGGTAACTAAGGATTTTAGGGGTCCTTGCATGCACCCACACTTGCACGGAGCCGAGACCCGAGCATGCCCCCCCCCCAAAAAAACCTGAACAAACTTGCAGCAACCCCCTAAACGAGGATGCTGCCCAGCCCAGACGTGTGCTGGCTCCGTCCGTGCTCACCTCCTGGCGAGGAGCTGTGACCTGGTCCCCGCCGGAGAGACGAGGCTGATCTGGAGGTCGCCCCGGCGCGGATGCGAGATGCTGAGCCGCACCACGACGTGCTCCAGGTAGAGCACGTGCTGGTCGCGGTGCTCGGCACAGGCGCTGCTGAGGGTGCTGGCGCGCAGCACGTGGTCCGCACGGATGTACCTGCCAGGGACGGGCAGAGCGTCATGTTGGAGACGGCAGCGCTCCTCGGTTCCCAGCAGCGTGGACGCCCAGTTATATTGGAACCCGGTCTCCTACTGCTTCATGGCAAAAATTATCTCATCCTCCATTGCAACACAGTGTCCTAGCACGGGAATTTGCTGAATTGCTGAATGGTTACGAGACGGGTTTGAAATGCCTCGAAGATCTATGCCTTATGGGCTGCAAGGGTGCTGCTTTATTATAATTGTCAGCACAACATTCCTCTTTGGGTTGTAATTAGTGTCTGTATCAGATAAATAGTTTCATGAACACACTTGGCTCCAAACTC